CACGAATTCATCCTGCGAGATGCATTCACCCTCTCGTTCTCTGAAACAGAAATATAAACAAACTAAGCAGCGACAAAATTTCAATGTTTGATGAGTAATAGGAATAAAAGCTCAAATTTTGTTGCATTATTTTAGCAATACATTTCTGTTCAATTCTAATTCGATTTTAAAACACAGAATATCTAAAAAAGATATTACAATATCTGTAAAGAAGATGGATAAAAATAAACAAAGATTGGATTCTTGCATAAATAATTTTAAATGGACATTTATTCCTCGAACTAAAATTTATTTATTAAACTTAATTATTAATTTTAACATATAGAGTTAAGTAATTTAAGTGACATATTACCTTTTATATAATATGATATCGCATGCAAAGTATTAGTTGAATATTACATGTTTATGTCACAAATGCATAATTTTCTATTATTATTACGCAACAAAATTTTGAGCTTAAACGTAACTCTTAATAAAGACTGCAATATAATAATAGTAATAATTTCGTTTACCAGATATTTTCTATAAATTTCCAATAATTCCATTAATTTCCATTAGAAGCTCGTTGAAAAATTAATGCATTTAGAACGAGTAAATTATATATAATATGCAGTTATTATTATATTTTCTCACTCGAATGAGTAAACTACAAATACGAATGACAGTTGAAAATAAAAACAACGATATACATATATACAAGATATCCCCATATAAGTGACCACCCTTTTTTATTTCGTAAACTAGTAAAGATAGACCTAACAAATATAATACCAAATTAAACCGTTCTAACTAAACTCTATTGTGAGCACAGTGATCACTTGGGAAAATTATCCATGTTGGAAAACAAAGAAATATGCATAATTTTTACACGATAAAGTAAATATTTTGATATAATAAAAGTTGTAGCGTTCGTTCTAACGAGTATAATCAAATGATAACATATTAAACGTCAAATCGTTAATAGGACAATCGAAAGTTGGCCACATCGCACGGTCGAAACTGAAAAGGTAGTGATTCTTGCAAAACTTTAGACCGAAATAACTTGTGTAATTTGTATATTTTGTTATAAAATAATTTTATTATTATATCATATATCGTTGTACTCGTCAGAACGGACACTACAACTTTCATGATATCGAAATATTTACTTTGTCGTATAAAAATTATGCATATCTCTCCATTCTTTAATATAAATAATTTTTTTAAGTGATCACTGTGCTTATAATAGTATTTAGTTAGAATCGTTTAATTTGATATTATATTTATTAGGTCTACATTGTTAGTTTAACAATAAAGATAAAAAGAGGTGGTTACTTATATAGGGACACTCTGTGTGTATTATATATATATATATATATAAAATCTGTTGCTTATAACAGAACGTAACTTGCCGCTTATTAATGTTTCCATAGAGGAGTAGAATATCTCGCCCTTTCTCACTCTAATAATGAGTAAAACGACACAGAGAAGAAGCTATAACTCGAATGTAGGCGTTCAACTGCAAAACAGTCGCGCTCTTCCCGATTAATTAGCTGAATTTGTTTGCACAACTGCGCGACACGTTCCCCTTCACGTTCCTCTCTCTATCCGCTCTATTCGTTCGTTTGCTCTACAGTAAATTCGTGGTAACAATATAGTTGTGCTAATCTAACGTTCAACATTTACGTTAATTAATCGTTCGCGACTGCAATTTGAAAGATCAATCAGATTATGTACCCACTAATCCTTTATGGAACGAATATATTCTTAAATGTCTAGTGCAGTATGATATTTAATACATTCTCGAAAGTACTTCGTGCGCGTGTAGGCGTGTAAATGGTTTTATATTACCGCACATAAAATGCATGTCACTGTTTTTTCTATATGAAACTGTTTGGGAACGTCAACGTTTTTTTTTTACATATTCTTTAAAAATTTTTTTTAATATTTTTGAATGAATTTATAATTTACAAAATTATTGCGCGAGATTTGGCGCATGAAAATTTAATTTTACTGATAACAAATCTAAAATTTAAAGATTAATATTTATCAATATTTTTCAAACGAATAAACTTTAATCAATTTTTTTTCTATCAACAGTCGTTTTGCACGGATCCAAGAATTCATACATCATTAAAAATATTTAACGATATATCGATATACAGAGGTAACCTACAAACCGCGTAGCTTCTTTGAAATTACCCGTGGAAGTTTTAAACAAAGTATTCATTTCAAATACACGATCGCACAATTACACAAATTGTAATTTTTTGTAGATTGCAATTGTATCTTTTTTATATCAAATTAATTAAATTATATCTTTTTTATATCAATTAATTTGTTTTATTATTTCATTTAATAAAAATGTTAGATATTCCAAAATTCGCGACTTGAAATACAATAGTAAGAAAGTTCCCTAAAAATTAAATAAAAAAGTTTTTTGTAAATTTTTTAGATAATAAAGATTTAAATATAGCCAGCTATAAACTACGTTTAGATGACCATCTATCTGTCCATAAATCACGCGTGCGATAGTTCAATAAGCGAGGGAGCACTATATAGCTGAAATATTGTCCCACAGATTACATAATTTTATTTGATTTCGTACAATTTCATCTGATTACAAATAATTTTCTTCATTACATATGAAGTCATTTGGTAAAATAAACGATTTTATCTAATTACAATGATTTCTCGCGGTTGCATATGCAATTATCGGATTATACATATAGGGATTTCATATGAATTTTATGATTTCGAGGACTCTGTCCCACAATTAAATTAAGTGATTATCCCCTCGTTAGTGAGTGTTGGTGAGTACACACTTCAGCATACAAATAACATTTTTACTTAATTTTTCAAAAATTTTCTTATTATAGTATTTTGAACACGATCGCGAACTTCGGAATATCCTGTAGAAAAAAGACCGGGTATTTGACCAGGTGCTCTTAGTATTTCAAAGAAAATAAATGCGCAGGACACGAATGACTCAGAGGTGTGTATTAAGGATTAATTTACTTTTTATTTTTTTTATTCCTTAGGCCTAGTTTCATAACTCATGATTAACTCTTAAGCGAGATTCAACTTGTTTCTTATCTTTTTCCAATTCTAGAATTGGAAAGAGACAATGAATAAGTTGAACCTCGGTTAAGAATTAACTGTGAGTTGTGGAACTAGGCTTTAGAAGTAAAAAAGATAAAGAGTAAAATAAATTAAGGTTACTATTAATCTATTAGTACATTAGTAAATATTAATAAAAAATAGGTTTTTTCACGCACGCTCATCTCGTTATCACTCTGAACAAATAACATACGTGAAGTGTAGAACAGTCAGACTAGTTTTTTGGTCCAAATAAATTTTATCGTTCAGTGAAAGTTAATATTTACTCGTTTAAATTTTTTTTGTGAAACCCATTTAATACAAAATTTCTTCAAATTTATAAAAAAAAAACAATATGAATGCAAAAATACTCACATTAATCGTAAAGTGCGCCGAATCCGTCCAAGAGGATGATTCTAGTCTGCCGTACCTTCTATTTGACTGTGATTGCTGTCGGTGACGATGCCATTGCTGTTCCCGGTACTGTCGTCGTTGCTACGTTGCTGGACGTTGCCTCCGTTAACAACGCCAATCGATTCGTGCTGCTGGAACATTGCCTTACCACGTGACATGACGGCGACATCGCAACGCCGGACAGTATGCTTGGAACCGCGTCCACAACCGTTGTTGTTGCTTCTCGCCATGCTTAGCGTCGCAAACTATACCGAAAAAGAAGACAACAATTATTACTCTTTCAATATTATTTTTATTCAGGCTTGTTCAACTCATTTTCATTTCTTCCGAATATAAAATATGTTAATTTTAATATTTTAAATCCTAAAATATATAACAAGAAAATCTCACTTCACCTTGTAGTAAATCTTTTCTTTATGTGTGTGTGATAATATCATCTTTAATTAAATTTTTTTCCTAGGTAATTTTTTAAAATACCTAATATTTAAATTACTTTCCACACATTATATTATTTTTTATAAATTTTGTTTTAAAGATAAGCTCTTAAATTTCGTGACTATAATCTATTCAAGTCAATAATCTATTTTTTAAATAGACATTTGTATAATAAAAGAAATCACAAATGTCTTATTGAAATCATATTATAATATGTAACCAACTGCGAATGTACTAAAACTTAGGCAAATTTAGATTTTAATGAATTCTTCTCATCTGGAGAATGCAATAAACGAAAATGGAAATTTTTCAGCTTGCCAAAAAGCTTTAGACGATAAAACCATCATAAACAATTCCTTTAATATGATTTGTAAAACATACCTAAGTACCGCAAATAAAACTTCGTACGAGAAAAATTTTCTTCCATATAAGCATCTTTAATTTACTGAGCTTGTCAAAAATATCAAAATGACAAAATATAAGAAAAACAAACAATAGAAATCAAAGAATGATGAATTCTATCGCGGTAATTTTCATTACTGTGTATATGTACATCTATAATCCGAATACGGCTCGCAAACAATGAATTAATCCAACAAGGTAATTTAATATAATATATTGTGAATTAACATGTATCAAAGGAAAGACAAAGTTAAAGAAAGAGGGAGACTTACCTTCAACCACAACCAGGTCAAACTTCCCTGCGGTCGATGAACGTGATTTAAAAACGTGCCTAGTTGAAGACCAAAGGAATGAGCCTTCAGCAGTCTGAAGTTCTCCCTCTTGATTTTCCCACGTTGTCCCATTCGATCATGTCCGCAAGAAACTCATCGCTTAGCTGTAAGACGTCATTTTACCTGTGGAGCAAGAAAAGTTGCTTGATAATTGCATGAATTTTCTACAGTTTACGTATTATGTAAAAAGTTTAAACATTAAATAGCATTAAAATTAATTCGTCATTCAATAGTAATTTGTTTAATCGTAGTCTATGTGTAATGTAACAAAGATGGTATGTTAAAAAATCATTTATTTATTGTATGTATACATAGAAATTCTTAGTTCACTGCGTACGTTGCCGTTCTAAATATGGAAAAGATCGATAACATAATAAAATGATTCTGTTAATATCCTATTTAGGAATTCATGAAACTCCATTCTTACCGTTATATGTTATTAGTATCAAAAGTATTCCAATTTCCTAATATAAATGTTTTATAATATTTAAATTCTCTGTATCATATGTTTTTTTTTTTATATAAATTAATTCAATATTAAATTATTTTAATTAATTTTTCTGTTATACGGAGGTACATTCTAATTATTACCTTCTATTAACTAACTAGATAATTGTTATTTGTGATAGATTAGATAATATCCGCAAATAACTTTATATTAATAAATAAAAATATCCCTCTTTGTAGACGTAATATTTAATATGTTCAAACCGTTTTTTATAACTTTATATAGGATTAATTACTTTATGTTAAATATAATGTCATAAAATTGTCATATTAGTACAATTTTATTACATTTCATGGCACCAATTTGATCTAATGTAACATTATTATTATATTTATTACGTATAAATTATTAATCCTTGCTCACCATGCAGTTCTAAATACGAAAGATCGATAATATTATGAAGTGGCTCCACGTGTTCATGACACAAAGCGGTGTCCTTATTCATTAACCAGGAAGGAAGTCTTCCTTCCTGTCATTATCATAGGAAAAATTCGCCTATTGATATAGGCTTTACTATATATACTATCGTTCATAAATTCAAGAATATTTGCGTTTTTCTCGCATTTTACAAAAACTTAAGTATCTTGGTGAAAAAAAAAAATCGTATAGAAATTTTCAAAAATACATTTTAAAGAAGAAAAATAAAGTTTTTTAAACTGGTATTTAAATTTTGTCTCTACGATATTTTGTTGCTAAGTTACATAAAATTGAAAATTCATTTTTTAATATATTTTTTCAATATTTTTATTTCACTTTAAAATAAAATAAAAATATTGAAAAAAATACTAAAAGTGTACACCTTGATAAAACATCATCCAACAAAATTTAATAAACAAACATTTTAAAGTACACTTTCTAAGCTTTAAAATGCTTTTTTAAAAAATTGGTACGATTATTTTTCGAATTTCAAAGATACAGAATTTCTTATGTAAAAACTTGCTTTTTCTGAAATGTTTTTTAACATCAAAACTAAAAGATTTACGGAAGAAAAACAAACAGAGAAAAATGTTACAATGTGTTTGATTGGTACAAATTTTTTAAAAATTCTTAAAAACACACTTTTTCAATCGCCAATAATTTTTATAAAGTTTACTGTAAAAAAATTCGTTTTTAATTTTTGAAAATTTATTCAAATCATACACATTATAACGAATATTGTAACAAACTGTCTTCATATATACAGAGTGGCTGAACGAAAACGAAACAGACTATATAACTCCTACAAAAATGATTTTTCGAAAAAAAAAAAAACGCAAAAACATGTCGATTTCTATCGAGAGGTGGACATCTGTTGATGTACAATTCTTACTCTCAACTTCAATCTCCTAAGCGGAGGTGCCAATTCCTAAAAAATTTCAAATATATATATATATCATAATATGATTCCTCCAATTATTTTGCACATAAAAGTATTAAAGTAGAGATATCAAAAAATCAATAATTTACGAGATATTTTACTTTCTTCTGCACATAATGACATGAAATATTAAATAAATAATTAATATCTCGTAAACTGTTAATTTTTTGATAATCGTACTTTAATACTTTTATGAACAAAATAATGAGATTGGTATAAAGAAAACATAAATAATTACTTATTTAAAATATGATCTATTTCAGTTGATGTTCTCACATAAATGATCTTATTTCCAATCTTATTATTTATTATCCATTTTGTTGCCTACATATTTTTTTTAAAGCAACGATATATATTTTCTTTTGTCCATCTATAATTCTAGTTATTAATCATCAATCGCCTATTTCTCTCTTAATATTCAACTATAATATTATTTAACCTGTTTTATAATGCATTCCTTTTTGTTTTGAATTTTATCTGTTACGCAAACTTTATTCTCATAAACTAACATTTAAAATGTTTTTATTTTCTCAGAAAAGATTTAAATTCGCAAAAGAATGTCTCAGATCTGTATTTTATTCGGTATCCTAAACATAAAATATTTTGACGTTGATAATTACTGAGAAGAAATAGAATCTTTAATCAACCACGCGTCTTTCTATCGAGTTTGGCATGCACTCTTTCTTTCTTAGCACAACCTCCCTCCCCTCTCTCTCCCCCTCTCCCTCTTTCTCTTTCTTTAATAAATAATAAATCTGAAATGCAAAAGGGAAACGCAGTATGCGAGCGGACACGCAGGGTCGTCACCCCATGACGCGAGGGTTACTGCGGTAAAAACTACAGACAGGATGTCGCCACTGCGATCGCAATTGAGAGGGTGTACGCCCATACACAAGAGGGGTCCTGAAACTCGATTACGTTACTTTTCCTCAGAAACGGAAAGTTTTCATGAACGTAAAATTAGGTATACATTAAATTACGATAATCGCAATAAATCCATTAAGATAAGCATTACAATTAAGAGTATGATAAATTATGACGAATTTAATTAAATTAAGAGTATACATGCGTTTTCATTAAGTATAAGCTGTACGTCTAACATTATTATGTGATTATCCTCTTCGATGAATTATAACGTAGACTTAATTACGTTCACTTTGGTAATTTTAATAATTTTACTTTTCGTTTATGTGTAACATATAATATCATTATAGTTAGTTATACAATATAATAGCATAATTATAAAAGTAGAGTTAAGCAGGGCCGCTACTAAAGTGCCTTTGTGTAAAAGGATTTGCCACTATCTCTAATATTTTTTTATTTATCTTTTAAATAAAATATTTTTTTAAATAATTTTTAAAAAATAATTTTTTACAAATCTTTTTTTAAAGATTCCACAAATTTCATTTTTATTTTAGGATATTAGTCATTAATTTTTTCCTTGAAAGAAGACAGAAATGTAAAAAGTAAAAATTTTTCCATTTAGGCTAATAAAAAAATTTTTCACTTTTTATGTTTTTATCCTAAAAAAATTACATCATTGTATCCTGATGCTAAAATGGCTTAATATAGATTTGTATATACTGAAAGATTTCAGTAATACAGGGAAATAAACAATTATCTGGTCCAATGATTTCAGACTTTAATTACGATACTAATAAAACAAAATTTCTAAATTAATATACAGATACGTTTTGAAAGAAATTAAATCTGACAGAAGCAAACACAAGCAATTGGTATTAAAAATGAAGAATTAATTTTTAAAACTTAATTTGACGCCCCGCTTGTTAATGTACTTTTATGCAATGCAAAACTTGCACACCTGCTTGCGGTGACCCTAGAGTAGTGTATTTGCCCCCCTATGATGTTATCCTCTTCAAAGTTACTCGATCTGTATTTCACAGATGTTTTTTATCGAATAAAATTTTACACAGTATTTTACGCCGTTACGCCTTTAACAAGTATAAGAACCTCATTTAAAAAAACATCCGGTAATACGTACACAAAATACAGACATCCCGTAGTATGCGTGCTAATACTTTCTCAGCTAAACTTATCTTTTTCCTCCTCATCTCTTTTTGAACGATCATAACAGACACGAAGAGATCATATAGAGAAAAAATAGAGAAAATTAAAGAAATATTTTATTTGCAATCATCGCTCAATTCAGAGAAAAAAATTAATACCAGCAACCAGAAAATAAAGAACAAATAACATTTCAACTATATGTATACTATAAATTGTGTAGTTTAAATAATAGTGGCTATTAATAAAATTACATCATTTTTATATATGTTTGTAGCTTCTTCAATCAGTTTTATTTGTATTTTTTTCTTATTTTTTTCATAATATGGTTTTAAATATAAAATCGGAATGCAGCGTCACCGAAAAACCGACACCTGTCTGTAAGACAAACCCATAAGCTAACTTAATCTTTATAGTATTGTGTTATATATAGCGTTAAACAGCCATCAAAGCTAAAAGCTATCATGTATTTATGAGGGGAAAACCCTCAAAAAAAGGAATTGCACGTTACATATTTTCGTCCTGCAGAACAACATAAAGTATGCATATGAATCAATAAAAAATATTTTATATCAAAGTAAAAAGATTTTAGAAAATCTTATATACATTCACTTGTAGGTATTTTACGCAAATAACTCCTGTAAAAAAAAGATTATATAACATTATCGTCTACTGCGTCAGTTTTGGGGCTCATTTTGTCAAACGCTCATTTTTTTCTTATTTTACGAAAAAGTTAATTATTACAAAATTACAAAAACGATTATAAAATCTGCTATATTATTTGACAGAAGGCACTTTCTAGTCCGTATTATGTTAATAAAATTTTAGCTTTTGTATAATAAATGTTATCCAAAATCAAAATTTTTGGAAAAGTGAAAATGGCTGTATTTTCACTCTCCTGGAACGAAATTTCATTCCAAGAAATTTAAAGAGTATGTTGGTATCAATGACGTTCTTTTATTATTAACACAAAAAATGTGTCATATTTTATATTTATGACTGATTTTAGAAAAATGTTTGTCTCTGAATCGTGGAAGAGAGAATATAACTGTCATGTCTGTGATATAAAGTCTATACAATTATATATTATAACTTCTCTATTTTATTGATTTTTAATAATTACGTACATCTAATGAAATAATACTGTCAGACGTCACATTTATTACCGTGACTACAATTCTAACAGTCCTCAGAACTACTTTTGTTCCCATGACTTTATAAAACTAGTTGAGG